GGGGGGGGGGGGGGGGGGGGGGGGACAAGAGAAGGTAGGACTTGCGTGGTTGGTTGGTTGTTTGCCTGGCTCAACCGTCCGGTCCACTTTCCGGGCGTTCCGAGGTCAAGAACGACTGGATAAAACTCTATGCGATCGGCATTTACATCATCTTTCTTTCACGTCCTCTTCTTGCCTAACAGGTTCGTACGTACGTAATGACCCTGACCCGCAATTTTTTTTTGCCTTCCCGGGGGACGTGGCCATTCTCCTCCAAATGAACCTTCATTCCATTCCGACCACCACCCTCTCTTTTCTCATCTCTCTCACCTCCGCAGCGGCAGCATCAGCAACAGGGGGAGCGGCACCGCCGGGGTCCATCGTCCCCATATTCCCCTGCGATCCAATCAGCGATCCCCCCTCGAACGTCCCCNCCCCCCCCCTGTTGCGCCAGAGAACGTTCCGCATTCTGCTGTTGCTGCTGAAGTTGAGAAGGGGAAGACGACACCGAGGTCGGTCCTGCTGCTGCTGCTGTCGTTGATGCCGCCGTCGCGGGCTGGGCTTCCGTCGCATGCTGCTGCTGCTCCTGCAGCTGCTGCAGTTGAGACGCGGAGGAAGAGGATGAGACGGAGGCGGTCCCCTTGCGCTGCTGGAAGTCGTCGTCCCTCGCCTTGCGCCTCGCCTCCTCTTTCTGCTCGTGCAGCTCCACGTCCTCCTGCGCAGGTTTCGAGATGACAGGCAGGCGAGACATGACACGGTACAGCAAAAGCAAGACGTGACGTTTGTCAAGGACACGTAGTACAGCCACGCTAAGCGACCCCTACTGGTGTATCTAAAACATCACCATGATGGTCATGACTACAAGGAAGGCAGAAGACACCCATGCAGAAAACAAGAAACAAAGTCGTGTCCGCGAACTCTTGGAACACCACCTCCACCAACAACACCAACAACAACAAAAGGGGAGACGAGCGAGAGCCACCGCTGCCTCGGAAGCGCGGCCATCGTCAAGCGGAATACAACATGCGTGTGTAAAGCAAGGCCTCAACTAAAGAACTACTATTTACCACGTTTCAATACAACATAATGGCAGGCGCGGCACTGCCCGACTTTAGGACAAACATCTCGTCTTCCACAAACAACAGTACATCCGTCGCACGTGGACAAAAACGGTAAAGTACGTGCATCGCATAGCGCACAACTCGCTGTGCCAACTACTACTACCAATATTCGGCACCACAAGACAGGCATCTCGGACCAACACAAACACAGACGACAAGCCGCAATGCTGCATGCATCCACTCTCGAAATCTCGTCCCTCTCTCACCATGCGGCGCTTCATGCTGTCCATCTGCTCCTGGAACTTGTCTGCCTTCTGCGCCATCGACAGAAGGTCCATCCCTGAGGAAGGAAGGTAGGAAGGAAGGAAGGAAGGAAGGACGGAAGGTAGGGCTGAAGGAAGGTAGGAAGGTAGGAAGGAAGGAAGGCGGGGCAAGCAGGCAGCAAACGGTGTAAAAAGGGACGCTTGTGTTACGTTCCACGCCGATACGCGTGACCATGAACCGCTCATTCCTCTTGGGGACGGCACACCAACCCCACCCCCCCTACGCGAGAGACAGGGGGGGGGAGGGGCACGAACACAGCAGCCGTGATTGCTGCGAACCCCCCTCAAGACGATTCCTCAATCAATGCTCTGTCGCGGTGGGGGGGGTTGAGACAGCTGCACTTTCTGCTTTCGTGTGGAGAGCGCGGGCCTCCTACGAACAGACTGCCATTCACGTTACACGCGCAGACTCCTTTTAGTATGTTGGCACGCAAGGCGAACGCACCAAACAGCACGACAGTTGGTGCCAGCATGAACCTCTCATTCTTGGTGAGACTCACTTTGTCATTTTCGCTCTGCTGTGGGGAACCCCAACAGAAACTATTTTATTATAGTGTACATGTAGGGTTTCGACTGAGGGTAGGCTTCAGGTTTTCACTGAGCACCTGTTCTAATGGCCAGGTGCTTGATTTTTTCTTTTGATGAGCCTGAATTTCTTGAAACTCCCAGTTGCTTCGGTGCCGGCGCTCACGGTAGCACTACAGGCAACAACAAAAACACCGACAGCACCATCTCCTGACCACAACGACAGCAGCAACAACAATGACAACAACAATGACAACGACAACGACAACGACGATGACGACGACGACGACAACACAAGCGACCACCGTTCAACCCCTCCCTCTCTCTGCTCTTGCCTTCGACTCCGTGGAGACCCCCGCTTCCATCTGCGGCGTGTCCTCCACCGCCGCCGCCGCCCACATCGTCCCACAAGTCATCCTCGCTCTCGCGCCTGGCATGGTAGGGCGCAGCGACAAACAGGAGCACCCACAAAATAAAACACAATGCAAATGCGTATACATATGCGGGTATGTTCTCTATGCACTATTAAATAGTCGCTAAGCAAAAAAAAAAGAAGGCCTTCGTCTTGAGTCCAACAACCTTTCTGATACATCACAAGAGGGCAGCAACAGGTGTAGTGTGTAGTTCCGAATACCGACCGTTCGGCAAGGAAACCAACTCTGAAACGAACGCGCAAAGTGGCGTGCCAAGTTCTCTCCGCCAGCCGTTTCCGCACGACTACGCTGCTGTCATCCTCTTGCCTCTGCGTTTGCACGCCTGTAACAACAGGCTCCCTCCGCACCTGGATCGCTACACACCCAGAGACATACACCACACGTGACTGAACACTTCACCAACACTTGGTCCAAAACCTTGTATCGATAGTGGCAAGCTCTGGTACACAACACCAAACAAACACGACGTAGACGCTACATACCAACCCGACACAAAAAACTTTGCAAAAAAACAAAGAGCACATTATTGGCACCACAAAACATCTGTGAACCGCACCAAGCGGGAGCGGGAGATTTCTGCCTCGATAGGCCCCGGTCAACTTGTTTCGGCCCAGACAAAAATGCAACGGTGCGCCAGGCCAACCGCACGTTCGGCACTCCCCAACAACTAACCGTGCCATCCGCCGTGGGCTAATTCGAACACAGGGGAGGACATGCCAAAATCGGCTCCCTGCTTCACATTGAAGGGCTCGCAACTATGGAGTTTGGGGCCGACGCCCGCGCCACCGTGTGACACCGACCACACATGCCCGTCGTCGCCTCTACTGTCACACCGAAAGAACACCCTTCTTTGTCTTCATCCTCACCGGTGTACGTTGGAACGATCGCCCCCTCCGCCCCAGCGCCCCCCGCCCCCGCCAACCCCGTGTCCGGGGGCAGGGGGGGCCCCGCCCCCGCCCCCGCCCCCGCCCCCCGGTCCATCATCCCCTCCCCCCCAACGAGAACGCCTGCCCCTCATAGGTTGACGCTCGGCCGCCGCGGCCCAAATCTGCCGGGCGTAGTTTGTGGTCGTGTTTTTTCGGAACATGGACACAAATTAGTCGGGGGAGGGGAGGGCGTTCACATGTTTTGCATGCCGTAGCGATTAGGCCATTGACCACGCGTCCTCGAGAGGACGGAGCACAGTTCCCCCAGGACCGATCACCGATGGCCAATCGTCCCTTCCCACCTTGCCAAAGGTGGCTCAAACATGTTTTTCTGGCCCATCTGTCCTATCGACATCACTTCCCGTCATTCAACCCACTTCATATGGCCCAGCACAGCTACCATCTTCTCCTGGCTATTCCATGACCCAAACATCTCCGTGCATCTTCCTTCCACTTTCCCAGCTCATTCATGTACACTCCCTCTCCTTGTACAACGAACATTCCGCAACTACATGAACCCGGCTCTTCGCACTCGGAGCCGCATCCACATTTGAACTTATCGTCCTCATCGTCTTCCTTCCTAAATATTCGTCTACGTCCTCGTAGACGGGAGAGGGGACGGGGGGGGTGCACTATAAACGCAACCCGAGGTGCACGCTAACGTGGATCCATCCGTGTGTGCGTATGTTACCATGTTGTCGGAAAAGGAGGCACGACAAATACCGCGTTTCTGGCGGGTGGGAGTTCAACCGCACCCGCAAACCTGACACGTTATCCCTCGAGCGGGATCAAGACGCACTAACGTTGAAAAGCTCGGGCGAAAAAAAAAAACTGAACAAAACGTCCTTCCGTGTGTTTCTAAATTCGGTCACCATGCCCATGGTAGCTGAGGAATGCACACATGCAGCTTCACAAAACTACACATCGGTCAAATCGTGGACGTAAACCACACACGTTGTTTTCGCCAGGCACCACGCTTTTAGTCTGATCTCGATAAAAGAGCACAAAAAAAAAAAGGCCGAAATCGCTTACCCTGCTGATGGCCTCCTGATCGGCCGGAGTGGCCGTCACCGGCTCCAGCGGTTCCTCGGACACAATAATGGAGATGTCCCCACCCAGGACGGGCATCTTGCCCAGCGGTCTCGTGGGGGCCCTCCTGAGGGCCAGCAGTTCCTCCGGGGAGAAGCGCTGGACCTTGTCGCACCATACCGGTGTCAGAGGAGGCGTTCGTCCGGAAGGAGGGGGGGGG